TAGGGGAAATAAAATATTGGCTTGAATACTATCTGGTCATTGCTTTCATTTCAATTAGTTGAATACCCAATGTGTTGTTTGAGTTGAGTATTATGTGATTTCTATTTTAGAGTTATAAACGTAACAGGCATGAAAGAAAAAACCTCTTTGGTTGTTTGATACTTATACAAGGAAACCATAATCCTCGTGAGTGTGTGTGCAGACATTCCTCGTGTGGCAGCTGATTTTTTCTAGCTGCTTCTTGGGGAGAAGGTACTCTCTGAACCAGATCTTTGGATGCTTTCTTGTGGCAGCGGGTGTCGTAGTGGCTGTTACGAGGTAATACTTCCTTTTTATCATTGTAAGGATTGATCTTGCAATGACTTTGCAAATGTTTGTTCACAGTGGTCTTCCTTTTGCTTGAGACAACATGCTAAACTTATAAATTGAGCTGGGTAATAATGATATCAAATTATGTCTCTTTTATTCCCTGTTATGAATAAGTTCATGGTGGTAATTGTTTCTATGCATCATGATTCATGATTTGAACCAGTCTTTTCTCAATCTGTTCAATCAAAGAGAGTAATCTTCACGTTGTCATTCCTGAAAACTCTGCCATATGATCTATGTTGAAGGTAAATTCTAGTTTTTCATTATGAAGTAAAATAAAACATATATCTTAGTTTAGTTACTCCGTTCCATGGAACTTCTATGATAACCAATTATCTGACTTATCTTCCCGTAGATATCTAGTTTCATATTAAACTTTATGTTCAATTATGTCCTGCTATCTCTTGGGCAGTGGAGGAAACAATGGTCAGATGCTTTCTGGAATTGGACCTTTGTGGCCAATGGTCATGATTGCTTCAAGTGCATTTCAAGCAGGTGCATCTATTGTTAAGGTGATGTCATGGGTCGTTGTCAAATTGTATTCTTTACAAATTAGGAAGCTCACTATTAATAATGCTCGACCTTTGTAGGAATCTGTATTCATTGGTGCCAGAACACGTCTTAAGGTGCATACAAGCAGTATTTTAAATTGCCTCGCCCTCTGTTTTGCTTATCTGAGACTCATGGTACTGTCCAAGAATTAGTTCACAAGTTGGAGATTGAATAAATCTTCTTTTGATACAGGGAAAACCGTTGGACGTTTTCATTGTTAGTTCCTTTGGATCTGGATTTCAGGTAATGACACGACTTCTGTCCAGACACACACACATACACACACATATAAATTAGTATTTGTCCATCCTAATACAGAAAATGAATCTCTGGACTCGAGTTTATCTGCTTTGCTTTTTCAGCAAATTGTTTCTGGTATCTAATTGTCATTTAAGTGACTCAGTCTCATTAGTAGACATGACCCATGACCATTTAATATTGCCATAAATATCTTCTATTATGAGACCAGCAATGGCTTATCAAGTCACCTTATAAATCTACTGCCATCCTTTCTTCAATGAAAAAAAGGTTTATCATATGAAAAATAATGAAGGTGAACCAATTGTAGAAATGGATTGTCATAATATTTCTACGGGCATTTTTTGGTTGCCAAAATATTCCTTCATAATAACCTTGTATAATCTAATACTTTGATTTCTGGAAAGCGCTACATGCTGTATTTTTTAACATGGATATTGTCTTTCTGAACTTATAGGCCCTTTTCATACTCCTCCTCTTGCCAATTTTGTCAAACTTGAAGGGCATACCTATATCTGAACTGCCTTCCTACTACAAAAGTGGTGTTGGATGCTTCTTGAACATCGGAACCAATACAACAGGTAGGATCTTCATTTGAACATTCAGATTTGATTCAAGTATATGCTCCCACCCAAACACTCGTGTCCTCCCCCAACACTGTTTGAGCTGCTCGAATTTTACCTTCTTAACTGCACATTGAAAAAAAAAGGATGTTTGGTGCATTTGAGTGTTTTCAGTTGTTGGATTAACTGTTATATGCGATTGTATATGCATATAGATCTTCATCATTAAAACAGAAAAAAAAATAATGCGACATTTAGCCGCGTGAAAGGGATCCAGTTATCTCCGAAATTGCAAAGAACCCCTTGAAGTTTGTGGCGACATCTGAGAAACAAATGTAGATAGGGTAATTGTAACTTAAAAATAAAACTTAATTTCTTTTTAATTAAGACAATGCAGTAATATACTAATATTTATAATATTCCTCTTATTTCTATCCTTGAAGACTGACTGGTTACACATACAAACTAGTTTTTTAATGCTGCATGAGAAGTGTAGGGAAAATATTTCGAAGTTAGCAATAAATGGTATATGGACATTCTTCTACCCAATAGAGATGAAATTTGTGAGTCTGATGACCTTTTTAAGCATAATGGTATTATTTTCCTCAGGGTGTGATGGAGCACCACTACTTCCCCTCCTTTACATAATGTCGAATCTCCTTTTCAACATCTCTATACTCAATCTTCTCAAAGCCTCAAACGCAATTGTTGCTTCTCTTGCTTCAAGGGCTTCAGGTCTCTCTCTCTCTCTCTCTCTCTCTCTCTCTCTCTCTCTCTCTCTCTCTCTCTCTCTCTCTCCCCCTCACACACACACACACACACACTCACATATACACACCTTAAATAATATGTTTTATTTAATTATTCATTTAATTAGTTAATTAATTAATCTTTTGTAGTGCCCATTGCTATTTTGGTTCTTTCCCTCCCACTGCCATACCTTCCTAGAGGTGTAAACTTGAGCCCATCCTTCCTCGCTGGGTCCATGATTCTTGTGGCTGGGCTCGTCTTATACACTGCACCCTGGACTCGGAAGCACGGATCCAATATTCTTTGACGTACAACAAGAAGGAATTGAATGCATGCATTGTATAACTAATTACCTCATCATATAGCTAAATCCGATGGCCTTGCTTTTGGATCCATTTTGGCCATCATCTCGATTGCAACTTTGTTTTCATCATGTTAGTTATGGCTAATGGATTTACAATAATCTAATGAAGAGTCTTTACTCAACTCCATGTTTTTAAGTATTCCCAGTCTTTGTTTTCGTCATCAGATGTTTTTACAATTTCTACCGTATCATTCGTTTATTGATCATGTTAAGTTTCACGAGCGAAATCAGAGGAGTTATTCTTGTTTGGGTGCCTATGCTGGTAAAATGTATCAACCTGTAAGCATCTCAATCTCTGTAAATGTAGCAGAGGAGTTATTCTTGTTTGGGTGCCTATGCTGGTAAAATGTATCAACCTGTAAGCATCTCAATTCTTCTAAATGTAGCACCCCGTTTTATGAATAAGAGAATAAGACCATTTGCATTTCATTTTTAGCTCGACTTTGCGTTTAAAACACTTAATCCAATAATTGAATTAAGTAGATGTCCTCGTCTACTTATTTTCTTATTTGCTTAAATTGTTTTAATTGTCTAAGTGCTTAATTATTCTTCCGTAGTTCGTTTATTTGTTTGAGTGGTCGTATATTTTGTTTCCTAAGTTTACTAAGTTAAAGCATGCCAAAGTTTTTCGAAAAATAAACGCTAAGTTCGGCCATTTCTATTTTGAGCCTAAGTTTATTTTTCAAGGATAAGTCTCAATTTTTCTTAAATGACCAAATAATTCCTAAGCCACATTTTTTGTTCAAGTCTCTCGGCCACCTTATAATAGTCCAATGCCGAGAATTTGATCACACGACCCTTAGAACCCTTGAATTCACCTATATATAAACCTTCAAGCACCATCAGCCATCATTATTTTCATTCTTCGAGAATACCACAAAAAAACAAAAGAAAAAGATCCCAACCCTTGGACGTCCCTCAGCCACAGCAAAGTGCAGCAGCCACACAAACATACCGCCGACAGCCGTCTTCACGCGAGCGTCGGCGACCTGAGCAGAAGAGAATCGAGAGATGTGAGTTTCGAGCCACTTCCTAACATTTTCAGTGGCCCTTAAGTCGAGCCAAACTAGACCTGAAGCCGAGAGAGGTCGTAGCCACCCACCGAAGCCGAGACCTAGCCCATTCGAGCCTTATTTTGTCCGATTTCCTTAAGTCTTTTTACAAGGTAAAAGGCTGAGACTATGCCTCATTATTTTATTTTTGGCAGAAAATATGCTTATGAATCAGTTTTAAATGTTAGAATTGGCACGCTTAAACTTAGAAAAGGTCGAAGAGAAAATTGAGGAGTGTTTATGCGAATTATGGTTAGTTATGCGTATTTCTTTGATGCTAAGCCTTTTACATGATTATTCTTGCTGAAAATGTGCATGTGTATGTACGGTTGTTTTGCCATGAGTGAATGCTTTATTAGTTTTGCCATGAGTGAATGCTTTATTTGTTGAGCCTATCATGTAGTTAAAGTCAGAGTTGGGCCCCTTTTATTTGTTCTTGAAAAGGAAATGAAAAGAGGCTGTGTTGTATTTTGCCATATTTATTTCACTAGTACAACATCGGTGTATTACACGGGTGCTTGTTAAAAGATTATTCTTAAATTTTAAAATTAATGAGAAAACTATATTAAATTTAGTTTACTTTCTTACAAAAAAAATATATTACTATATATTTTAGAATGATATGTGTTACTTATGACTTACATGTGTTATATTATATTAGTTTTTATAACTTATATCATATAACTACTTGAAATATATATATATTAGTTGATAAATAATTTTATTTTTATAATTAATATTAAAAATAATTTTATTATTGTTATAAAAATAAATATAATTTTTTTGTACATACAATATGGATGTTAAATCGAAGCTCATCAAAAGAAGATTAATTTGATATATTACATATGTAAAACTGATAAAAAATATAAAAGTTATTAACTTTTAAAATATATACACAATTCAATAGTTATAAATAAGGAATGATATTAAAATGGAATTAATACATGTAACATGACCATAAATAATCAACATATTTATGGTAATCCGAACTTAATTATTTTTGGTTTGGAATTAAATTAAAATTTACCCAAGCCTAATAACGAAACATGTAATTTTGCTACATAGGATTCCGAAGCACCAGAAACAGCCACGTAGGCTCAGCGCGTTCTGGATTAATATATAGAGGTAGGAGGGATGTTGCAATTGGTTAATTTTGTTGAACTTCATTTTGATGTTAAGCTTGATTTAAGGTGTAGTTTCAGAGTTTTTATTGTCAGTAATGCTGGCCTTAAAGTTTAACCTTGAATTTAAGATAAAGACACATGTTGTTGTGTTAATTGTTCGTGCAATTTTCGCCTTGATTTCTGTAAGCCTGAGACGTGTGGATGTGTCAGGCATGGTAAGAGTGTTTGATTGGATATAAATTTTTTTGTTTTGTTTGAATTTTTTTATTTGGTTTGGTTAATTTTTAAAACGGTGGTATGATTAGTTGTTAATGGATATATTAAAATAATATTTAGAATAAAATAATTTAAGTTGATTTGATGTAGCGCCTCATTTGTTTCGGATTTATTTGAGATATTTAATCGTTATCTTTTATTCGGACTAATTATTTCGGGCTCGATTATTTAATTTCTACGTGACTATTTGATCTTAGATTCTTAAGTATATTTAATTATTATCGAGCCGAATTAACTTTCGAGCCGAGTCGGGCTTTTAAATATTATTTCACGTGATAAGTAGTCGAACTGCCCGAAGCCGGCCCAACCCGCGCCCGCATGCGAATCACCCATTCAAACCATACGCATGCATGCATGTATTCTTTTTGAAATTTTGATCTCCATGATGTTACACCCTATCCCATTTATTTAGCATTTAAACCCTTTGGCTCCATTTAAATTTTAACTAGTATTCGACCCTCTGCATTTGCACACTATAAATAGAATATTATAACTTACATTTATGCATTAAAATATAAGTTATACAATGGTAATATTTTAAACATGGAGTATTATAAGTTATACTTATGCAAATAATAATAAAAATATAAATTAGATAATGATATTATGTTTTAAAATTTGATCATTGGTTAAAATAAATAGTACATAACTATTTGATAGCATATGAACCGCTATATTAATTACATAAAATATAGTAAATAATATAAATTTGAGAAATCGCCAATTTATTAGCTTATAAAAATTAAATTTATTATAACATTTAATTATATGATTTTAAGGAATTTTAATATAAGATTAAAATAAATTAACTTATTTAAAAATACAACGCTAAATAAAATAAAAAATATATAATATTAATTTTAGAATAAATAACTTCAACAAAAAGTTTACAATAATTTTTTATGTTTATGTAACTTTCATATATCATTAAGTTTAAACTATAGATATTTGTTTTAATAATAACTATTATATGATATAATAAAAAGTGTAATTATTACTTCATTAATATAAAATGTAACGGTTTTTGTCTTAATTAACCCTAAAAAAGTACAATGAAATAATTTAGCATTAATTAGATATGGTGGATTAATAATAATAATAATAATAATAATAATAATAATAATAATAATAATAATAATAATAATAATAATAATATAACATAAAAAGATGGTAAAAAATAATCAATATTATTAAATTTATTATTAGTAATTAAATTAAATATAGAGAGAAAGAGAGAGAGAAAAAATATAAATGTTAAAGTTTGTAACGGTTTTTGGAGGGAAATCAAAATGAGGTTTTATTAAATGCTATTAGCCAGCAATTACATATATATAGATTTCCATTTCTTGTGGATTGATTTTTATTAAATCATGGAGGGATAAAGTCAGCCTTCAATCAACTTTAATGAGAGTAATTCTTTTTCTTTAGTACACACTCATGGAGGGATAAAGTCAGCCTTCAATCAACTTTAATGAGAGTAATTCTTTTTCTTTAGTACACACTCTCCATCTCTCCATAACGTAAGATAAAGCAAGAATTTTAAATAAAATCTCTCCATTAATCCTCTCATTATCTCCTATTAAACTCGCCATTAGCCCCTCATTTATATATATAGATTTCCATTTCTTGTGGATTGATTTTTATTAAATCATGGAGGGATAAAGTCAGCCTTCAATCAACTTTAATGAGAGTAATTCTTTTTCTTTAGTACACACTCTCCATCTCTCCATAACGTAAGATAAAGCAAGAATTTTAAATAAAATCTCTCCATTAATCCTCTCATTATCTCCTATTAAACTCGCCATTAGCCCCTCATTTACTTAGTGAAAATCTGGAAATTTATTTCTCTTCCTAAACCCTTCAAAACCATCAAGAAAATCAGTGAGAAAATCACCATGCAATCATCCCTTTTAGTCATCCTACACGCCATTGTTTCCCGTGACTACAACCGTCAAACCTCGCGCGTACGTCGCTCGCCCCGCAAGCACACCAAGACGATGTTGCCTTGGCCTCCTTCTTAGGGAAAAAAAGGTTTTTTGGTCCTTTATCTGCAGGCCGTTTTCAATTTAGTCCCGTAAATGGACCGTTTTTGGAAATAGTCCTCTAACTGAAAAAAAATTAGTTTTTTGGTCCTCTGACCGCCTACAGCAGGTCACAGTGACCTGCTACGCTTACGTGGA